AGGATGTGGAGAAAAGGGAACCCTAGTGCACTGTTGGTGGGAATGCAGACTGGTGCAGCCACTGTGGAAGGCAGCATGGAGATAACTTAAAAAATTAAAAATGATCCCTGGCTGGCGTAGCTCAGTGGATTGAGTGCGGGCCTGCGAACCAGAGTATCGTGGTTCGATTCCCAGTCAGGGCATATGCCTGGGTTGCAGGCCAGTTCCTAGCAGGGGACGCATGAGAGGCAACCATACATTGATATTTCTCTACTACTCTTTCTCCCTCCCTTCCCCTCTCTTGAAAAATAAATAAATAAAATATTTTTTAAAAAATTAAAAATGGAACTACTTTATTACCCAGTGACTCCACTTCTGGGAATACATCTGAAGGAACTCACAACAGTAAAGAACATATGCACCCCTATGTTCATTGCAGCATTATTTACAAAAGCCAAGATTTGGAAGCAGTTCAAGTGCCCATCAGTAGCTGAGTGATAAAAAAAGAAGCTGTTGTACATTTACACAATGAAATACTACTGAGATGTAAAAGAGAAGAAAAGCTTACCTTTCGTGACAGCATGGGTGGACCTGGAGACTATTATACTAAGTGAAATAAGCCAGTCAGTGAAAGATAAATATTAAATGATTTTACTTAGATGTAGAATCTAATGAACAAAATAAACTAACAAAAAATACAGAAGCAGAGTCATGGATACAGGGAACAGACTGACAGCTGTCAGAGGGGATGGTATAGAGGAGCTGGGTGAAAAAGATGAAAGTATTAAGCAAAACAAAACAAAAAAACCCCCAAAATTCATAGAACAATAGTATGGCGATTACCAGAGGGAAAAGGGGCGGAGGAAGTAGGAGAGGGTAAAGGGGGGATAAATGGTGACAAAAGGAGACTTGACTTGGGGTGGTGAACACACAATACAATATATAGAATTTACCTCTGAAACCTGTAATTTTATTAACCAATGTCACCCCAGTAAATTTAATAGAAAAATTTTAAAGTTCACATAGCCATAATACTATTATCAGATCAAGAAATAATAATTTCTTAGCATAATGAAATGTCCAGTGAGTGTTCATATTTGTCTCATAAATTCTTCTGTATAGTTTGTGTTCAAATTAGAATCTAAATAAGTTCCATTCTTTGGAACTGATTGATGTGTCTCTTCAGTTCTTATAATTTATAGGTATCTCCTCAATCTTAATTTTTTTCCTTGCAATTTATTTGTTAAAGAAGCTGGATTGTTTGTCCTACAGAGTATGGTTAATATTTCACATGTTTTTATTGCCCCTGTATTTTCTGTTACATTAGTAATTAAAGCCAGAGGCCAGGAAAAAATTTAAAATAAAAATGCAGAATCTCAAGCCCTACCCAGGCCTGAGGAATCAATCTCGTGTTTTAAGATCTACTGGTGATTCACGTATTACAGTTTGAGAAGCACCAGGTCAAAATACAGGCTCAGAATCAGAAAACCTAGGTTAGAATCACTGCTGTATCACATACTCTATGACCATGGACAAACGGCCTCTGTGTATTTGTTTCCTCAACTGTGAGACAGGAATAACTGATTTCCCCCACTTCCACACTTCCATCCAACACATTCTCCAGAGAACAGCACAAGTAATCTTCTTAAAACATAAATCAGCTCATATTACTTCCTTGCTTAAAACCTTTCAGCAGTTTCCCTAGAACCATATCCAAGCTCTAACCATGACCCACAGGGCCCAGGCATGATTTGGCTCCTGAAACTCTGTAATCTCCTCTCTTCACAACCACATTAGTCTTTCTGTTTAGTTTCTGGAACACTCGAAGTTCTTTCTGGCCTCCAGACCTTTACAAGTGCTGTTTCACTGGAATGTTCCTGCCTCACGCCCCCATTCTCCCTACAGCCAGTTTTTGAGGAACGGACTTTAAAATAAGACCTCAAAAGGCTTCCCATGGCCACCTACCTAAAGCTGGTCTAATTTTTATTTTTCTATGACAGTACTCACTTTTTTCTCTCATAGCAAGTATCGATGAATACAACTGGGTTGGATTTTCTACAGTGTTAAGCTCTTATTATACTTGATAGGTTCACATATATTTGAGGAATGGAGTTCTGGAATGAAGTCCTGAGGAAAAAAATCTGTGATTGTCAGCATATAGAAGCATATACCATGCTCATGGATAGGAAGAACTAACATCATTAAAATGTCCATACTACCCAGAGCAAACTACAGATTCAATGCAATTCCTATCAAGCAGGCTGACAGCTATAGGGGGTTGGGTCAGGCAGAGCACTGGGAGATGGGTGGAGGGACTGAGCATAAAACAAAAAGACAAAAAGCACTGGCAGAATAGTCAGGGCACATACAAGGAGCAACCTATGAATGCATAAATGGGTGGAAGAGCATATCACTGTTTCTTTTTTTTTCTTTTTCTTTCTCTCCCTTCCTTCCTCCCTCCCTCCCTCCCTCCCTCCCTCCCTTCCTTCCTTCCTTCCTTCCTTCCCTCCCTCCCTCCCTCCCTCCCTCCCTCCCTTCCTTCCTTCCTTCCTTCCTTCCTTCCTTCCTCTCTCTCTTCCCTCTCTTTCTAAAAGCATTAAGTTTTAAAAATGCCCTTTCTTTGAAAAAAAAAACAGAGAAGGAAGTGTTTGATATGGATAACACTGTGGTGATTGCTGGGGTGTGGGGGAGATGAGTGGGGTGAATAAATAGTGATCGACAGAGAATCGACTTGGAGTGGTGAACACACAATACAGATGATGTATTGTAGAATTGTATACCTGCAATCTATATAATTTTGTTAACCAGTGGCGCCCCAATAAATTCAATTAAAAAAAAGATACTAGTGGTGTATTTCACAGAGCTAAAATAAAGATTCCAAAAATTTATATGGAACCACAAAAGACTTGACTTGGGGTGGTGAACACATAATACAATATACAGATGAAGTATTATAGAATTGTACATCTGAAACCTATATAATGTTATTAACCAATGTCATCCCAATAAATTCAATTTAAAAAAAAGTAAATAAAAGCTCCCCAGGTATAACTATGGTTAGGAGCCACTGTCTTTCTTTCCTTTACTAATCAAATGCCCTCCCTCTTTTTTTTGTGGACAAATGTTTATTTTTCTAGTGAAAAACAGTAATAGGAAAGAGTAGATAGAGACAGACTATATTTCCTTCTCAGACCAGTAAAGTGTTGGAATCTTAATAACACTGAATTTACATAATAGTTTACAAAAGCATTACAAACAAAAAGTAGATTTCCATCATTTTTATTATTTAGAAGAATATTAATATGGTGATTTTTAGTCAGTGTTAAACCTAGAACATTGCTTAAGCAATCACAGAAACTTTTAAAAGTTTAAAATATTTTCCCACTGTCCATGAAAACCCTACAGAACCAGCAGCTCAAGGCACAAGCAGAGTACATAAGTGACTAGCTCATCTCTCTCTGCAACTCATCCCCTGCGCATTCACCCAAAACATCTGGATTCTACTTGGACTACAAATGACAACTTAGTTCTAAAATAGTGTCTTTATTTTCAAAAAAATTAACCAATAGCCCTGGCTGGTGTAGCTCAGTGGATTGAGCATGGGCCTGTGAAGCAAAGGGTCCTCATTCAATTCCCAGTCAGGGCACATGCCTGGGTTGCAGGCCAGGTCCCCAGGAGGGGAAACATGAGAGGCAACCACACATTAATGTTTCTTTCCCACTCTTTCTCCTTCCCTTCCCGCTCTCTAAAAATAAATAAATAAAATATTTTTTAAAAATTAACTAATAAAATATTTTCAAATTTCCATTTTAATCATTGGAATTTGTATAATTGTACTTACCAGGTCTAACTTTGATAAAAGGTGCACTTTGAGGTGATATACTCAATTACCCAGTTGCAGGTTCAAGAATCTGAAGCACTTGAACACAGTCCAATATACAGATGCTATATTATAGAATTGTACACATGGAACCTATAGAGTTTTATTAACCAATGTCATGCAATCAAGTAAGTTAAAAAAAAGAAACTCAAGCAATATGGCAGTCTCATTAGACCTTCTAATGAATTATTTTCTATAACCATATGATCTTATAGCCTCTCAAACATGCCCCAAGGATTTGAGGAAGAAAGCTAAGTGGGCCCCTTACAGAAACTGAACAGCTAGTTACCACTTAGGTGGAAGATTTCAGAAGACAGTTCAGAAGACAGTATGGCTCAGTGGATTAAGTACTGGTCTGCAAACCAATAGGTCAGCAATTCAATTCCCAGTCAGGGCACATGCCTGGGTTGCAGGCCAGTTCCCCAGTTGGTGAGGCCGGGGGAAGGGTGTGGGAGGCAACCCAGCCAGAGATGAATCTCTAAGACATCAATGTTTCTCTCCCTCTCTGTCTCCCTACTTTCCTTTTTCTATAAAAAGTAAATAAATAAAATCCTTTAAAAAAAGAGAAGATAGTCAAAAATGAATTCTCCACAAAACCTCTTTATGCTTCTCTGCATCCTTCATGATAATAAGTAACATTTATTAGCTGCTTACTGTGCCAGTTCTGCCAAGCACTTTACTATGTCCTTTAATCTTCACAAGCTTCTGAAGTATCATCACCATCTCCCTTCTAAGCTCCCTGTCTTATTAACCAATGCCACCCCAATACATTTAACTTAAGAAGAAAACTCCTCTCTCCCAGTACCTGTCTTTATTCTTTGCATGTAGTAGGGACCAATTAAATCTGTTAAATAAATTAATGAGTCCCTATTTCCCAGACACAGTAATGGATCAAGAGGTTAAGTAACTTGTTAAAGTTATATAGCTAATAAAAAGTTAAACTGGTATTAGAACACAGATCTTGGTTCCAAAGTACACACTTAACCACTGTTCTGTAACATCTACTATACACTTCTGCTTTCAGGGCTTTGGCCTGTTTTCTCTATCCTCTCTAGGACCTATGTCAAGCATGTAGTTTCTCCTGTAGCATATATGTTAAGATTCTTGTTCGTAAGTAATAGGAACCCAATTTTTAACAAGCTGAAGCAAAAAGACGAATTTATTATAAAAATGGTGATGTCTCACAAAAATCAGGGATAATGCAGATGGACTTTAGGGACAAGTAAATCAGGTGCTTGAATGCAGCCGAAATTTTTCATCTTGCCTCCAGCTCAATCCAAGATTCTCTGGAAAGGATGGTTTCTGCTGCAACCATGAAGGAGAAAGTAGAGAAGGTTGTAGAAAGGAGGTTCTGGGGAAGACAAAACAATATATGTTTACTTATAGCCTTCCTCTTTACAGCCCATTTCCTCCTTATCTACAATTGCAAAAATGCCCACACCTAATACAACCCATGGGCAACTGCCTGCCACATGCAGCTACTGAATCCAGAAGCAACGGCATGGCATAGACATGCCCCTTCCTCATCTAATTCAGTAACAATCTAAATGTGGCTCCTCTTGACCCTAAACCTTTAATAAACTTAACTGCCACCTATAGATCTAATATTAAACAAAGAAATAATCAGATTAATCATCATAAAAATTCCCTTTTAGGAAAGGAGAAGGGCACACCATTATCAGCCACCAGGTCTGAGTATGCACCATTTCCACCTGGGTAGGAATAAAAGAACTAAATCACAGGTATTGAAAAATGACTGAAATAAAGAACAGGCTGACAGTGACCAGAGGGGAGAGGGGAGTGAATTTCAGGGGAAAAGGGGAAGGGTTTACGGGAACAAGTATAAAGAACACGTGGACAAAAATAAGGGGGGGTGGAAACAGGAGGAAGGTGGGGAGGGTTCTGGGGGGTGGGCTGGGCTGGGAATAAAAGGCAGAAAACTGTACTTGAACAGCAAGTAAAATAAAATTTTTAAAAAAGAGAAAAATCTATGGGAGTCAACTTATTGATGCACCTTCTTGCTTAACAGTCTGTATTTGGGCCAGGGTACACTTTAGAAAAGCAGTGATTCTCAAACTTGAGAGTGCTTTAGAATTACCAGGAGGGCTAGTGAGACCTGCAAAAACTCAACACAAACACTCAGTTCAAACACCTGCACTAAGAGACTTCACTAAATTGTCCTGTGGCATTTAAGCAGCCTAAGGCAGAGTTCCCACCCGGAAAATCTCAAGGCTGTCAAAAGAATGTAGGTTTCTTTTGTTCTAGCAGACACTTGACTTAGACCCTGACCTCCCTTGCCTTGAGCATTTACTAAAAGAGGATTACAACTGTGATTTCTTCCCCTGTCCCTTTAAGATGTAGATGTGTTTCTGTCAAGGACCGTCCCCTTGAAATACAACCATCAAGATGCCTGCCCCTGGGTCTCTATCTCCTAGTCTCTTTGGGAGGCTAGACTCCTAACTTCAGTAACTGACAGCTAGCAGGCACGGCTGGCCTGGCTGCACTTAACACTGAGCGACCCTTTGTAAATTTCCACTTCCCTGACTCTACTGAAACCCTGCTTGCTCCTCTCCCTCCTTTAAAATGCCCAGTCACACCCTGGCCAGATGGTTCAGTTGGTTAGAGCATCACCCATACACCAAAAGGTTATGTGTTTGATTCCCAGTCAGGGCACGTATTTAGGTTATGGGTTTGATCTTCAGTCAGGGAACATATAGGAGGCAACTGATTTATGTTTCTCTCTCACTTTGGTATTTTTCCCCTGGTTCCTCTCTCTCTAAAATCAATTAGCATATCCTCGGGTGAAGATTTTTAAAATAACAATAAAATAAAAGGCCCAGTCATCCCTGCACAAATGGGAATGGGGCTCAGCTCTTTCCCTTAATGTTGGTAATGATTGGATAAAATCTGACTTCATTGCTTTAACTACTGCTCCACTTTGTTTATCTTTGACACTAAACCACAGATCCCTGGCTCGCATCCTCAGTTTCTGATTCTGGAGGTCTAAGGAGAGACCTGAGAATTTACATTTCCAGTAGTTTGTAGGTGATCCTGATACACTGGTTGAGAGAGAATCACTGCTCTAGCTCCTGATCCCTATTTACCAGATACGATTTTCTAGTGCTACAACCTCCTCAAAACATTTGACTGCTTATATATTTCATTTGAGGGGATTCAGAATGCTAATCACAAGTGCCAAGAATCTTGTCAAGTTATGCTTTTTGAGTCTTCAAATCTTAACCTGGCTCATGTCGTTCCAGGTTATATTTCTTAGCATTCTACCTAAAGGCTTGGCTCATTTTCTCTGCCATTCTGCTCCACACCTGCAGTTCAGAGCTTGGGCAGCAAACAGCAGGCCGAGTTCAAGGCTGTGAAGCCTGTCTTCTCTGATCTCCCTGAGAATTGTTACACTTACTCTCACCTCCTTGCACTCCAGCTGACTGCACTTACAGAGTGCGACATCATCACATGGGGGGGGGGGTTGAAGGTCAAGAGCAGCTTATACACATAACATCATTCCAATTGCCTGTGCCATTTTTAATCAGTGAACATTTTATGTAACAGTTCTACTGTAAGTCAGCAAAGTCCATGACTGTCTGATCCTCAGCAACAAGATATCTCTTAATACAGACAGAAGGGCTGCTGTGTTTTCAGTTCCGAGAACAATAAGGAACTGCTTTACTGCCAGGTAACAAAATGCCAACTTTTCATGAACTGATCTGGAAGACCTCCAGTCTCTGCCAGTTCCATATTTGAGGGTCTCAAATTTGCCATACACTGTATTTCTGGGTACCAGTTTATGAATGAACATTTTTTGTTATAAGTACATTCTGAGTTATCTTAAAGAAAACTAGTAATAGTAAGAATGTGGGGCTGCCTTAGGGAAACCAAGGACAAGAAAGCTTCAGGAATGATCTAGAACCTGGACTTAAACACAGTGAAGACCCCCTATCTCTAGTGTCTGCTTTGAGTCTACATTTTTTTTTCTTTTTCTGCAGACCAGCATCTGTTACTTCTGTCTCTCGTAGGAAAACTGATTGGTGACAGCTTCCAAGTTTTACACTCAGAGGAACAGATCTCTTTGGTCTAATTCCAAATTTCTAGGGAATGAGATTCTGATCAAGCCAGTTTAGCTTATTTAGCTTATTTGTCTACCTTTGGCCTAATTAGCCATGGTTATAGGAACATTTCAGGTTTTACTGTAACTCTGTAAATTGGAGGAGGGTCAATTCCCAGAAAGGAAGGGTTGTAAGTGTCCATTACACTAGTTTTTTATAAAGACTTTACTTGTTTATCTTTAGAGGGGAAGGGAAGGAGAGAGGGAGAGAAATATCAATGTATTGTTGCCTCTCATGTGTCCTGGGCTGGGATGTGCCCTGACTGGGAATTGAACCTCGATCCTCTGGTTCACGGGCCAGTGCTCAATCCACTGAGCCACACCAGCCAGGGCTATACTAGAAAACTTTTATTCCTTCCCTTCTCCATCCCCTCCAGCCACTGCTCTCTCCTTCCACTGCTGGTTTTCAAAGGAGTTACCTAAGTGCCCCGCTTCACCATATACTTATTATCTGTCAATCTAATTTGTTCTATCTCCACTATTCTTTTATGATAAACTCCTTTATGGAGTTGGAAACTTTTTAAGCTTTTGCCTCCTATTAAACTATTCTCAGACTTCATCCTTCTTGACTACTCTTGGGTTCTGCACTTTTGGGTTCTAACTCTGGCTACCATTATCTCCCACCTTCCATTAAGTTCCAAGCTGCTTTGGCTACTACTCACTGTTACAGAAAATATTTTTTCTACCCTTCTGCTGATGAAAGAGTAAGCCCTAAAAGTCAGTCAGAAGACTGGTGCTAAATTGTAATCAACTGAGGAACATGCTGAAAATATAGTTTTCAAAATATGGATTCTGTACACCTGTAATTGGAGTCCTTGTGGTTATTTTGCTAGATCTCTCTGACAGATTGATTCACAATGAGTTGTAAAAACAGAGGTCCTAACTACAGGACACTATAGCTCAGTGAATACCAGAAAGGTACAACTTGCAGTTTAATTTGTGTTGGTGCTTATCTCCCTGACCAAAAAGATCCCGAGGACAAGAGATATTAAATTTCACTTTTTCTCTGCATTGCCTTGGGCAAATAAATAATGTAAGTTTCACCATTCATTAATCGGAGCCAACAACCCTTCTTTAAAGAATTGCAGTAGCTACAAGTGGATCACTACAGAAATGGTGGTTATTATTTTTATGTTGCACAACTGTCCTTAATTCTCATTTACTAAAAGTTACATATATTATTTTCCTCTTGAAATGAAAATTCCACCTCCTAAAGATTTTTTGTATACTTTATAGCAGAATTGACTTAATCCACTCCACTTCCTTTCCCATGATGCACCACTCCTTTCCCCCTTAAACCCCTTTTCCTCTTAAAGGCAGTAAATGGCCTGAAGCAATTCGGTGGATGCCAGGACTTGGAGTGCAAATTCTGAACACACATCGCCACGCCCCACCACTTGTGACCCTGTGAGCTCAAGGGCTGCAGGGAGTGGTAATCTTGTTACCGGACAATATCCCGAGGCTGGAGAGAATACTACAACTCCCAGGATGCCTCTCTGCCCCGCCTGGCCCTACCCCCCCCCCGCCCCTTCTTCACCTAGAAAGTGTGTACCACCAAGACTAGGCAACATGGCTTCCGGAGGTGGAAGGAACAGGCTTCACCATTTGTGAAACAGTGAAGAGAGGCTGGAGAGGGGAAAAAAAGAAACTAAACCCCGTTAACGCTTTTATCCTTCTAGTCTCTCCTAAATCCCGTTGGCTTCATCCCTCCTCTCCACACAAATCCAATCTGTGGTCTTTTTCCCACCCCGCCCTCACTCCCTAATTCGCTTACCCTTCCTCTCCTGAATCCTTTTCCCGCCCCTTCGCCCCCCGCGGAGTGCGCACGCGCCCGCCCCCAGCTTCGCGCCCAGATTACCGCCTAGCTAGCTCGCGCAGCCGCTGTCTCGTCTGCCTGCCGAAGAAGCATGGGCGTCCAGGGCTTCCAAGAGTTCCTGGAGAAGCGCTGTCCCGGGGCCGTGGTGCCCGTGGACCTTCTCAAACTCGCGCGCACGGTGTCGCGCCAGCAGCAGCAGTTCCAGCGTCGCCAGCTGCCACCTACAGCAGCCCTAGCGCCCGGGGCTCCACGCGTCGCCAGGGGCTCCGCTCCCCTGCAACCGCCGCTCCCACCCGCTGCTTTGGGTGCCTACTCCGGGGGCGCGGGGCCGACTCGGCACCATCACCCTGCTCACCATTTCCACCACCTCGGCCAGGGGCATTCCGGCCTGCACCCGCCGCCGCCACCGCCACCCCCGCCACCCCCCCAGATTCCCGGGGCCCGGGTGCTGGTAGATGCGGGCTCGGCGCTGCCGCGGCTTTATGGCGGCTACCAGACTGATTGGGTGTGTGGCGGCCAGTGGAACGCCATGCTGGGCTATTTGTCAGCGCTATGCCAGGCTTGTGCCTGTTCCGGGGGCGACGGCCTGGAGCTGGTGGTCATGTTCCCCGGGGGCCTGGGCAAGGAACGGCTGGCTGAGTGGGGCCGTCGGTGCCAGACTGAGCGGCAGACGGCGCAGCTGATCGTGGGACACGTGGGCAACAAGGGCACCCCTCCTCCACGGGCCTGGTTCCTGCCACCGGCCTGCCTGAGCCACTGCGTGAGGCTAGCACTCATCCGCTTCCGGGTCAAGGTGAGGGAGGGGCCGGATCTTCAATAATGTGCCTCATACCTTTACCCTCCCAACTAAACACCTAACTACCCACCTACATACTTGCCTCCCATCTACCACTTACTGCCCAGTCAGCTAACCCATTTGCTAACTACCCTCGATCATTTTATCCATCCACTCACCCCCTACCTATTCCCTCTCCTATTTAACCACATTTCTACCCCTGCCATCCCAATAACTCCTTTTACCTTCCACTTAACCAGTTGTCCTATACCTGTGTCTTACAAGAATTTCTTTTGTAGCCACATCTTTCTTTTGCTGTGTTCTGCCTAAAGCTGAAATGCCTTTTTCCAAGTTTTTCCAGTTGGCATCTCTTTTGTATATCTTTGTTTAGCCTTGCAGGAAATCCGTTGAACAGATGTTAATTGAACACCTTTCTTCTGCAATATTTTTACCATGTTGACCTAGTGCTTTTTTTACCCATATATCCATTCAACCTTTTTTTTTATTTCAAATGCTTCTATCTCCTCCTTCCTTAGCCTAAACACAAAAAATTTCACTGATTCAGTCACTGTGCAACAAGTATTAGCCTCTTGAGAGTAAGAGTTTTAAAAAACATGTGAGACATGGTCCTGTCCTTGAGAAATCAAATATATGTATGTGAAACATTTACTTAATGGTATAAGTGTGTATGTGATTATGCTTCATGGTACATATGGTAAGTATAGTACCTGCTTTGGGATGGTGTTGGAGGGAGATATCTGTGGGCTAAAATGGTCAGCAGAGGTTTTCTTGAAGAACTTGGACCTCACCTGGGTCTTCAAGGATAGGTTGAATTTGAATTGGTTACTGGTTTGGGAGGAGGCTGCTTTAAGTAGGAGAAAGAAGATGAGCAGAAGCAAAAGGGACTATCAAGAATGTGAGGCCCCATGGGCAGTTTAGTCCAGTCTCCACATGTAGTTGGTCAGTGCATGTGGAGCTTGGGGAAGAGCTTGGCAGCATCCCCAGTTCTTGGCACTACTGCTGTTTCTCTATTGCTTTCCCATGCTCTTAGGTTTCAAGTACCTACGTGTGGGGAATAGCAAGGCTTGAGAAGTAAATGACGTGGGCGGGACGAAGGAAAAGAAAAGTAGTACAGGGTTGGGTAGGACAAAACCTCAAACCCATTTACACCCCAAGGCTCTTGGGGATGTGCTCACAGGCAGAAGATGGACAGGGATTGTGGGGACCATGAACTAAGGAAATGGTGCTACAAGGAGTGATGAAAAACCTTGCAGCTGACAGACTGAAAGACCTACCTAGAGAAGTTTGCAGTGGTCGTAGTTTGTAGCTAGAGTTAGGTCATACTAGACTCCTTTGTGCCCAGCATCAAATCTGTGCCTAGGCTTGGTAAATTATAGGTATTTTTAATAATGAAAAATCCAATCACGAGCTATGTCAAATATGCAAAGTAGAAAGTGTATATATAACAGATGCTCATTTTGCTTGGTTTCCTGACTTAACACTTCTCAGTAGATTGGTCATTCGTGGCCATCCTTTTAAAAAATATTTTATTTATTTATTTTTAGAGAGGGGGGAGGGAGGTAGAAAGAGGCGGAGATAAACCAATGTGTGGTTGCCTCTCGCATACCCCCCCCCACTGCGGACCTGGCCTGCAACCTAGCCTTGGGCCCTGACTGAGAATCATACTGGCAACCCTTTGGTTTGCAGATAGGTGCTCAATCCACTGAGCCACAGGAGTTGGGGCTTGTGGCCATTCTTTCCACTTTGTTTTCACCACTACCACCCAAGGCAGGGGTGTCTGACCTGAGGCCTGCGGGCTGCATTCAGCTCAGGATGGCTATGTGCAGCCCAACACAAAATTGTTAATTTACCTAAAAGAGTATGAGATTTTTTTGTGGTTACACGTTGCAATGTATTTAATATATTTAATGTATTTAATGCCCAAGACAACTCTTCTTTTTCCAGTGTTGCCCAGAGACACCAAAAGGTTGGACACCCCTGTTAGGACTTTATACCTCATTGTCATTGTTAACTGGCTTGCTGGCCAGGTGCTAATTTATGTGCTTTGACAAGAAAAATCTCATTTGATCCTCGTAATAACCTGTGAAGCAGTAATATTCTTTTTCCAAATGAAGAAACTGAGGCACAGAAAGTTTAGAAACTTCCCTGGAGTCACCCAGCAATAAATGACAGAGCTTGGATTCATGCCCAGGCATTCTGGCTCCAAAACTCCTGCTCTTAACCACCGTGCTCTCTAGAAGGAATCTTTGTAAAGTGCCTATTTGATTAGGTCATTCCTACACTCCACTAAAATCTTCCCTGGCTCCTGGGTAAGCACAGGTTTGGATCATTAATTTATATTATATTTTTTATTGAGTGTTTGCTATATAGGCTGGGTACTATGCTGGTAGCTGAGGGTTCAGAGGTAAATAGGAGGACCCCTGCCCTCAAGGAAGTCAGTTTAGGAAAAGAGCCTGTTGGAAAACAAAGCCACAGACACTAAGGGCTAATTGTAAATTATGGGCCTTTATGCGAGGCATGGTTAATTCTGGGTGAGGTTGTGAAAGTTGGGGGTGGCTTTACAGGTTGATGCTGAGCCTTGAAGGATGCTCAGATAGTGTACAAGGAAGAATAAAAAGTTCAGATAGTACACAAGGCTGTGGAGATCTAAAATGGCTGATTGTGAGCCCTGAATAGGTCTTGATTAGAGGTTGGCAGTAGAGTTGAACACTGAACATAGGTTTGTGGTTTCCAAAATTTGGGGTTGATGCACCCCACCAAGATTTTTGAGAAACAACTCTAAGATGGCCTACTAAAATTCATCACATATAGTATCATTTTCTCTTTTTTTGCCTTTTTAAAAATTTTATTATGCTATTACAGTTTCTCCAATTTTCTCACCTTTGTCCCCCTCCACCCAGCACCCCGTATGCCCTCAGGCAATCCCCAGACCATGTTCATGTCCATGGATCAACATATAGTCTCATTTCTAAATCTCAATAATTCATAAAAAATAGGATGGATGAATGAATGGATGTGCGAGAAAGCAAGTATAGTAAAAATAATAGAATTTGGTGGTTGAGTATTTGCATGTTCAATGTAAAATTTTAACTATGCCATATATTTGAAATTTTCCATAATAAAATATTTTGTAAAGTATAATTCCAGCAGCCCTCTTAAGTCCCAAGAACCACCATTGGGCAAATAAGTAAATCTTATTCCTAATGCTAGATTATAAACAAACTCTTTCATATTCTTTATAGTATCTTGTATATTTTAGGCGCAGGATACATTTTGTTCCCTGAATGAATAGGTCTGTGATCCTAAGAGAATGGAATGTAAGAGTAACTTTTAAAAGTGTGATGTGGCTTTTAATGTAATGGATTTAAGAGTGGCTCTAAAATTGCAAATGTAAAATATCTGTAGATATTACCAGTGAGTAAAGTTCCCTCTCCTGGTTCTGGTCAATGATTTTGTTGTTGTTTTAGAGAACTTTCTGGTTTATAGCGCAGATTTGGAAGGTATTGGTTAATAACTTACTGTGGCTTGACTTTTTGGAGGACTGTTCCAGTATCTGGAAGATAACAGTTTTCACTTTGATGATCTGCATGTCTACCTTTTCTTTTCTTTTTTCTTTTCTTTTCTCTTCTCTTCTTTTCTTTTCTTTTCTTTTTTCTCTTCTCTTCTCTTCTCTTCTCTTCTCTTCTCTTCTCTTCTCTTCTCTTCTCTTCTCTTCTCTTCTCTTCTCTTTTCCTTTTTCTCCCTCTCTCCCTTTCTGTCTCCCTCTCTCTCTTTCTCTCTCTCTCCTTTCTTTCTTTTTTTTTTAATGTATTCTAGGTCAGCCCTGGCTGGTGTGGGTCAGTGGATTGAGTGCCAGCCTGTGAACTAGGGGGTCGCCAGTTTGATTCTGAGTCAGGGCACATGCCTGGGTTGCAGGCCAGGTCCCCAGTAGGGGGCACTTGAGAGGCAACCATACACTGAGGTTTCTCTCCCTCTCCTCCTTTCCTTCCTCTCTCTAAAAATAAAATAAATAAAATCTTTTTAAAAATTAAAAAAAAGAGTGTAATTTGGGAAATGACATGGCACGATTAAGGGCATGAATGCTTTGTTTTAATGGTTAATATATGAGGTCTGTCCAGGAAAAGTCCAGCCATTGTTAATATAATGAAAATGGTTTGTGTGACATTCATATAACCTGGCAGCTAAGGAGAGTGGACTGGAATGGGCGTGCATGAACAATGACAACTTCACTGTACTAGTCAGTGGGGGTGGTAGATGCCATTGAGTGAGCATGTGTACTGTGTGGTTGTCACATTCAAAATGACTTCAGCAAGTAGAGCGACAAATCTGCATCAAATTTTGCATTAAGCTTGGACATTCCCCTGCAGAAACTATTCAGATGATTCAGAAGACTGTAGCCATGGGCAGCTGGTGATTGGCAGCTTTATTACGATAACGTGCCTGTTCATGCATCATGTCTCCTGCAGTTTTTTGGCAAAACATCAAACCCCCCGGTGACTCAGCCCCCTTACAGCCCAGATTTGGCACCCTGCAACTTCAGCTTTTCCCAAAACTAAAATCACCTTTGAAAGGGAAGAGATTTCAGACCTTAAATGAGATTCAGGAAAATACAATGGGGCAGTCGATAGCAATTGGAAGAACTGTGAGGTCCCAAGGTGCCTAATTTGAAGGGGACTGAGGCATCATTGCCCTATGCCCAGTGTTTCCTGTACCTTATATCTTCTTCAATAAATGTCTCTATTTTTCATATTACATGGCTGGATACCTGCTGGACAGACCTTGTATATTAGAAAAAAAATCACATCAAACCCACCATTTCACAGGTATCATTCTTGAGAATGGAGCCAATTAAAAAAAAGTGACTTGATTTAAAGAAATGTATTAAGATGTAATACTTGGATGTGGCAGAAATCATGGTGGTATGTAAATGACCAAAGTTTGAGAAGTCTCACCAAGAACAGGTTTCATTTTGTGTTTTCATTCTCTAGAACACAGTG